ACTTTTGTGTGTGTGTGTGTGATTTTACTTTGTATCTCCCTAATGACTAATTTTTTGTCCCCAATGGGTAGCACTTGATTTATTCATATTAAAAAACTGTTCTCATGTACAAAACAAGAGGATTTTTGTTTTTGAAGGCTGAAAGCGCTCTTTAAAAAATTAAAGTTGGATTACATGGATTTGTTTCTCCCAAAAGCACTTCAGTGAACAGATATGCCACAATAGAGCTATCAGATGTACATCAAGAGGGCACTGGACAGTGACGGGGACTACAGCACTGGCTTGTCGCAGCTCCTGACCCAGCAGACGCTGAATCAGCGTGCCTGTGTTTGGGTACAGATGCGATTTATTGCGTTTTAAAACTCAGGGGTGCACAGTGTGTAGAAAATTCACTTGCATGTTAGGAAACCAACAACATTCAGCTGCAAAGTAAATGCTGCATCACAGCTAAACCACGACATTGACTTGTAAAACTGAGTGACTGATGAAAGTTTGCTGGACAATCGTCATGTAAACATAATGGCCCCTCATTGCCCCCCAGGGTTCTGGTCTCTATGGTAATCACAGGCACTGTGAAGGCCTCAAAGAAGAAAGCACAGGAGTCTGTGGCAGCTGAATGGACTCAGACAATTGTCCTTTGAAGCACAAATGTTTTGTAATTGGATGAAGTCCAGTTTATCACTTTTTTTCTTTTATGGTACCTGTTTTTGGTGTTATATCTAAGAACTCTTTGCCCAACTTAAGGTCACAAAGATTTTCTCTAGAAAAATCTTTGTTTTCTTCTAGAAGTTTTATAGTTTTAGCTCTTACACGTAGATCTGTTCTGAGTTAATTTGTATGTGGTCCTATGTGAGAACAAGCCTTTGCCTTATTCCTCACCAGTGCTCAGGACAGTGCTTGGCACATAGTAGGTACTTATTAAATATTGGTTAAATGAGTGAATGAATGGATAAACATTAGATAGATTTTTAAAAATTCAAACAACTTGTATCACATGTTCTTCCAATTTACAAGTCCACTTTGATTCCTTATTACCTAGCATTTCTAATTAACCATTATTTATTTATTTATTTTTGGTGGCTGGCTGGTACAGGGGATCCAAACCCTTGACTGTGGTGTTATGACACCGCACTCTAACCAACTGAGCTAACTAGCCAGCCCTAATCTAACCTTTAAAATCTAGCATTATACTTATGGATCTCAGATTTTCTTCTTGCCAGCGTGAGAGCCTCTGTTCATTATGAATCCTCTGATTTAGTCAGACTGTCCCAGCAAATAAGGGCTTCCCCAACACTCCACTATCTTCATGTGACTCTGCATTTGCTAAAATTTGCTTGTCTTCATGAGGATTTTTTTTTACAAAAATATGTAAAATGATTGACACAATCCTAATTTAAAATTCAAATAATAGCAAGAAGAATGAATGATCTGTAGGAGGATAAATGGAGGAGCAATCAGGAATTCTGAGATCAAGGTAACGATAATAAAATTCCCAGCTACGTGAACATTCTTGGACAAATAATAGCAAGAAGAATGAATGATCTGTAGGAGGATAAATGGAGGAGCAATCAGGAATTCTGAGATCAAGGTAACGATAATAAAATTCCCAGCTACGTGAACATTCTTGGAAAAGTTTACTCTGACTGAATGTCAGATTTTGATGTGTATACACTGAAAATTCCAGACAAGTATAATTATGTTTCAAGAGTTTATGAGTGTTCCACTTTGCCCTTGATGAAAGTAGGTAGTGGGAAAATGACTTTTATATCCAAGTAATTTCTCTCCTTGTTAGTTTAATGCCACTGTGAATTTCCTTATTTTAGCTTTTATAAAAGTCTTAAATTATTTCTTTTAAGTATCCTCAATAAAATACTGTACACCCTAAGAATGCATTTTCTACATTTATTATGAAAAGAAGTCCTGATTGTTGATCTGATAATACTGGCAACACAGTCAGAAACTTTAGGCTGAATTATGGGCATCCAAAATTTCTCTGTTGACTGATTATTTACCATTACTTTACTGTCTTCACACTTATTTTCTAAATTCAAAACAATAGCAAAATTAGAATGTCCCACTCAATAGGATGAAGTTGGCCTGTGTCTCACTAACACAAATTTGGGACTATGGAATTGGGTTTTATATTAACCTAAAGAGAGGCATAAATCCACTGCTTCTTTTTTCTCTACCTTTCAGTTATACCTCCTAGTGTTCCAACTGGCTCCATATTGCATAATAATTTTGAAAATGTGTTTTGAAAGGCAACCCAGATTTTATTCATGGATTTTTAAAATAAATCAATAAAAGTGAGCTTCTTGTATGTTTCATAGTACTACTAAACATGGGACACTTTTTCTACTTTATTCAATAGTCATAGATTTGCATTTGAAATAAAAACATATTTCTACACATATTTTAGTCACCATGGTAAAAACAAAAATCATGAGTATAAAACATAAACAATAGAAATTTATGACCATTTGTCGTGTCATCAACCCAAATGTGGGTCTTCCTAAGATTTTCAAAACTTGTTATTGCAGTCTCCCATAGGTCATTCTACTCTTTAAGACTTGCACTTTCTGTCTTTTGTAACTTTTCACATGCTGTTCCCCCACCTCAGTTTTCTTCCCAAACTTCCCACCTGTCCAGAAACCTCAGGACCCAGTTCAAATACTCCATTCTCTGTGAAATCTTTTCTGACCTCTGACCCTTAGCCCACTGTGATGTTGGGCAGATTAGCCATTTTTTTCTCTGTTACCAAACATTGCAAGTTGAAAACTTCTTCATCTTAGTTCTTACTTCATAAAATTGCATAGCTTATTTATGAAAGTATAAACTCCTTGAGGGCAGCCACAGTGTATTTATCTCAGCATCCTCAGTGTATATAGCACAGTGAAATGCTGCAAAATAATACTATATTTATCTGTTTTGCATATATTCATAGAAATGCCTTTGGAGAAGAAACATCAATTTAAAAATTATTAGTTGAATTTAATTCTCACTCTTATAAAAGTAATTAGAATATTTTGTTATTTTCTAGTTAAGTAATTTGAAGCAAGTTACATTCGTAGATATCTCAGCAAACAAGTTTGCCAGTGTCCCGATCTGTGTCCTGCGGATGTCTAATTTGCAGTGGTTGGATATCAGCAACAATAACCTGAATGACCTGCCACAAGATATAGACAGGTAGCTACTTGCATTCTGAAGGTGAGGTATATGAATTAGTTACTAACGCCTTAAACACTGTTAACATTTTAAACGTGCATAACACGAGTGTTCTTCAAAATCAACTAATTTTCCAGAGTTTATTGTTTTCAGGAAGTTATAGAGTAAGACAATTTACAATCTGCATCACACACGTATATGTGTGTGTGCAGTTGAATACATCTTTATTGTCTTGGCGAGCTTTGATTTGCTTCAGTCTTCCATAGAATGGCACCCTAACTTTCCTCCGCAGAAATAGGAAAGTAAATTTTTTTTTTT